CCCCCCAGCTTCTGGCCTGAGTCACGGCAGGCATGTGGCTGCATTTCTGGAATCAAGAGAGAATGTCGATTCAATTGCTTACCAGTTCAATCTACACAGCTTAGAGCCCTGGGGTGGGCAAAATGCAGCCCCAGGGCTGGATGCGGCCTGCCAGGCCATTCTATCCAGTGGGGCCCCTAAAAAAATTTAGAAAATTTATATTCATTTGCCCCTAGCTGCCTATCACGCAGCCCTCAATGGCTTGCCAAAACTCAGTACGTGGCCCTCCGCCCGAAATAACTGCCCACCCCTGGCTTAGACTAACCTGTGAAGATTGAATCGATTCAGCCTCAGGATTTTTGACCGTTTGTACATAGCCCTACGGTGCCACCCTGTTCTATCTTCTGCCTAACTTCAGCCTTATACAACCAACCTTCCTGCATGTCTTCATGGCCATTTGGAAATGCTGCAAAGGCAATGGGAGGAAACGGGGTGGCGAGGGGGAAGAGACAGACACACAATGCATATCAGCTTGGTGGCAAATGTGAAGTGCTGCAGAGTGTTTCATATGTACATCTGTCCATACCCATACTCTACTCAGTATGCATTCATCATGTGCTATATCAGCCCCCATTAAGCTCCATACTGCCATAACTAAATTAACTAGTCAAAGCACCAGTATCAATGTAAAGTTACCTCAGATATCTAAAAAGATGCTGAAGTTACAGAAGTGAATTCAGTATAGATATACAAGTACTTATCCAAAAGGAGTCTGAAGCGTAACTAAAGCACAGCCCTGGTTCTGAATGACTTTGCACATAAATAAAATAAAATAAATAAATAAATAATAAATAAAATCACATAAAACAAATTTGCTTCACGTACAATTAAGTAACCAACTTTCGTAAATGGAAGTTTCGGAACAGTAGTTTTTCAACCATCATAAACATTAGGCTCACATTCCTCACCAAAAATGGATTCCTGTTTCTGAAGCAATGACAACATATTAACACTACCAAATTTCAAACTGAACATTAAATAAAGTCTTCAGGGCACAGTTAAGTCATTAAATGCAAAGTTGAAGGCTTAATGCATCTCACAGAATAAAAACAAGCTTACTATAATAGACTGAGATGTATTTTTAATCTGCTGACATGACTTTATCTAAAGCAGCTTATTAAATGTCCATTAAAGTGAGCAAAAAGACCTGCAATGACTTCAATACTCAATACAGCAATCAGCATTACATTAATCATCATCAATGAATGTAATCAGTCCTAAATTATCTTTATTTGCCTATTATTTTGTTACCATGATCAGACTCCTTCATGACAACAGGATAGCTATCATCCTAAGCAATGACTTGTAAACAGACGCCTTTTACTATTAGAAGTCGAGCAAAGATGTGTAACTGTACAAATACTCTTTTCCAGCTATTCACTGCTGATCGACTTCCACCCGGAGTCAGCATCCAATATCACTTAGACAGGAATCTCTTTAACATCAACCAGCTACATTTCAAATCCAGGATAACCAACAACTCCATTATTGATCCTCAAAATGCTGATGATTATATCGTATGTGCCCACACATATGAAGAGCTCCAGCTCATTCCTGATTGCTTCTGAGAGACGTATGAAATGCGTGGACTCATGGTTAATCTCCCAAAAACCAAGACACTTTACCAACCCACCCCAAACCAACCAACTGCTCCTCCATACGTTAAAGTTAGAAGACAGCTGTTAGAGAGAGCTGAGCATTTTCCCTACCTGGGTAGCCACCTTTCCCAAAAGTAATAGTAGACAATGATATTCAACACCAGATAAAACCTGTTAGTGCTGCCTTTGGACATCTTCAAAATCATGGTCTTCAATGATCATGACATCAGGACCCACAAGCTTCTCATCTACCAGACTGCTGTTATCCCCACCCTGTTGTATGGATGTGAAATGTGGACAACATATCAGAAATACTTAAAAGTGTTGGAACATTACCATCAGTGATGTCTTCATAAAAGCCTTCACGTCAACTGGAAGGCCAGAAGAACAAACACCAGTGTTCTCATTCAAACAAATACACCAGCATTGATGCCATGCTTATACAGCACCAGCTCTGTTGAACAGGACACGTCATAAAGATGCCTGCTGTCCGGCTCCACAATAAGTCCCATTACTCCCAATTCACCGAAAGTCACTGCCCTAGAGGTGAGCAAAAGAAAAGATTCAAGGACACCCTGGCAGCCAATCTGAAAAATGAAATATTAACATCAATACCTGGAAGACTCCAGCACTGAATTGTCCCCAGTGGCACAGTGATACGCTGCAGTGATCATTTTGAGCAAACTCACTTCACTATGGAGGTGGATATATGAGAGAGAAAGGGAAGACCTGTGACTAAACATCACCAAGATCTAATCCTTTCTCCTGGAACCATTTGCCATGTCTGCAGTTGAACCCATGGCTCTTAGACCAGTCTCCTCAGCCATCTGCAGATTTCCCTGCTTAATAGAAGACTGTCATCCTCCCAGCAAGAGGCTAACAATCAATGACAATGGTGATGACCATTAGCGACATCAGCATAAGGACGACTGCAAGCCAGCAGGTGTTGATTGGGATAGTGAATTTCTATAAGCATTTTAGAAAGCTGATCCATAAGAATATGATGTCAGTGGTTCAAAACTCACTTCAAGGTATATACTAGCAGCAGACTGATACCCTGTAGAACTATACTACGATAACATCAGTTTGACAAAATGCATTCTCGATTTATGATGCCCAGCTACAAAGACATGGAACTATAGGAAAGAAAAGAGGAACTATATGAAAAAGATTACCTCCTTTAGCTCTCTTCAAGACCGTTGGAAGTGCTTTCTTGGTGTAATGGGACTGACTATCTGTGTAGATCTAGTTTCCCCAAGAACCACTTAAGATCTAAATCAAGAATGATAAACAGGACTTTGAAGAAATTTAAGTATCTAGGTCACAAAATAATGCAAAATAATCCAGCTGCAGTAGTCATGCACCCTTTTGGGTGCCTAAATTCATTCTGAACCTACTTTGGCCACAAAAAGTTACTAAATAACTGAGTTTAGGCTTCTACAAAAATGAAGAAGCATCTCAATCTGACCACTAGGTCCCTAGCTCCCATCCAAGTTCAACTGTGATTAAAAAAAAACAACTGGGACTATACCTAAACTCTGCCTAATCCCTCAGAGGAACTAATCCACTAGGCATCCTTTAGAACCAACTTTAGATCACAGAGTTCAGCAAAAATGAAGGATCCACAATGGCTCAAAAATAGAAGAGTGAAGATGCATAATACCCTACTGCAGTGATTCTCAGTATTTTGACACAAACTACCCCTCATTAGACTCCAGGCACCTGCTGGAAGACACCAGCTTTTACTTTCGTTCTTTAATTGACTATGAAAAAATGATAACATAATTATTCTACTGCAGAAGAACTCAGAAAGACTGCAATAGGTTAAAATGTTTTTAACACTATGAATTCCTATATAAAATCTCTGGGGTTGTCTTGTAAATCATGTGTAGGCACCTGAACACCTAACAGTACCAATACTGTGTGTCACCCTTAGACATATCTTGCAGCACCCCAAGGAACCTGACTTTACAAGCCTGTGGTTAGGGCATCTGTCTGGATGTAAGGAGGCCAGAGCTCTAGTCCCCGCTTCTAGAATTCTCTCTGGTTTTAGTAAAGACCATTGCTAGATAAAATTAAGATAAGACCCCAGGAACCCAAGTCCTATTTAGGCACCCAGTTAACCCATCTGAATCTGACCCAAGATCCTGTGCTGAATTACATGCACTTCATTGACACCTGTCTAGCAGAAGTTAGGGCATATGACTTCTTAACTGAAAGCACTACCGCAGACACTTGCCAGTCTAGCAGACCGATACCCAATTTGCCATTCTCCTTAATGATCCCAATCAAACATGCTACAGCAAAGTGGAGTCTTTCTGCTACAGAAGTGTTCTGGGACAGGACTTTCTGATGAGGCATGTTTTGTAAGCCCTCTTCCACAAGACCTCTTCCTTTTATAAGACCTCTTCCAGAACTGCATAGTTTTGTTGGGGAAAATAAGTGCCTTCAAACAGAACTAAGCTAAGTAAACTACTCTAATTTCTAATATAAATATATATATGTTATTCAGCAGTGGTCATCTTGGTGACCAAACCCTTGAGTTAATTCTTTATTCCCATATGTATTGACCATCTCTGGATAGCATTCCGCACAAAATACTATCAATGCACTAGCATACCTTCTCAAATCAGCAATAATGTCTCTCTTTTTCAGTTGTGGTTAAAGAGTGTGACAAAAACAAACTCAACAATTTAAACCAGCTGCTATAATTTAACAGACATGGCTTGAGCCCCATGAAATTACTTCTCTTGGTACTGGCATAAGACCACAAGATATCCGTGCACTTTTCTAATATAATTTGTTCTGAGGCCATTAGAGGAGTTCCTTGACTGCCTGGATTGGAAAGTCCAATTAGATGATGAATTCAAGTAACTTTGCTTTCTTTCAACAAGCTATGCTACACTAACACTCTCTAAGTTGTAAAGATTGATCTTGCTCTGACAAATGACAGCTTGATGTGCTTTTACCATGGATTTATATCAGGTTTACAAGACACAGTTTAAGGCTGAAGATGTCTAAACAGAACAGTAAGCCACTATTCCGGCCCTGACACTATCTCACGCTATAAAACTGATCTCACGAGTAACAATTCTGGATATGTGGCTAACCTAATATAGAAATGCTTGGTACTGAAATTATTTTCTAGTTATAAGCAAAAAGCTAGGTTAACAGTGAAAGAGCTACAGGATGCGTATTTCATAGTCATCACGAACCAAATCCCTTTCTCCACTGTTCATTTGCAATCACCAGTTTGCAACGAAGAGTCCATTCTGATAGAGTTTCAGTGACCAGTCTGAAAACTCATGACATTATGGGCACA